TCACCCCACTGGGCCCGCCCTGAACCCACCATGGACCCCGCACACGTGTCTTCCCCCCCTTCCCCCGGTCCCTGCGCAAGTCACCGCCCCTGGACCGCCCGTTCTGAACCCGTCAGGGTCCCCCACACATCTCCCCTGCCAGGCATGCCCTGAATCGGCCAAGACCCCGGAGCATATCACCTCTGCCGGGCCCCGCGCCGGCCTGCCCCGGATGCTCTGTGCGCTGGGCGGGGGAGGGTCTCACCTTCTGAGCAGACAAAGCACCAGCTGACGTTGACATGCTCGTGGTTGCGGCAGCCCCGCCGTGGTGCGAAGTGGTTGGGGCAGATGATGCTGTTGGAGGCGAGGGTCACCGTCCCAGCCGCGAGGCAGAAGTCGTTTGCATGGTACGCCACCGGGCAGCGCACGCAGCGCATCAGGCGCCCTGGCGGGAGGGAAGGGTGCAATCAGCACTGGGCCCTAGCTGGGGGGGGGCCACGGACCACCCAGCCTCTCCTTTCTGCTGGGCCAGGCAGAGAAGTGCAGGCGTCTCTCCAGCAGGGCAGGGGCAGCCACTGTCCCACAAATGGGTCCCCCCAGTTGCTGGGTCACTCAGTAGCAAGTTTGGGGGTCGCTGCTTTGGGGAAAACCTGCTGGCACCTCCGTGGCCCCTGCTCCCAGGCGCCGCCCTGGCTGCTGCCGAGAGCCCCGGAGGTCTGGGCAGGTCTGACAGGCACGTTAGCTCCTGCCATGTGCCAGCGGCTGAGTCGCAGCCCAGCCCACGCCCTGCGCACGGTGCCGGTGCGCAGTGGCCACCTGCAAAGGCACTGCAGCTGGTGGGGAGGGGAGGGGAACCTGTGCGCACAGCTCCACGCCCCACGAGCATACACCCGTGGCCAGAGCCAGTATGGCTCTTTGCAGAGCTGGGGCCCAGCGCACAGTGCGCGCTGCAGGCGAGGGGGCCCTGCCGGTCCCTGCTGGCTTCAGGCCTCAGCGAAGCCCAGAACGGGAGCGCGGGAGGCCAGTGTGCAACGTGGGCACAGGCCTGGCTTCCAGCCCTCGCTGAGCAGCCTCTGTGCAGAGCCACGGGGGCAGTGGCCGGGCCCAGGCTCCCGGCTGGGCAGGCTGAGCAACCCACACCTTCGGGCTCAGGCCCACAACGAGCGCCTTGGCCCTGACCCGCTCCCTGCGAGGGCCCGGAGGGGTGGGCGCAGCAGGAGCCCCAGTTCCCGGCTGGCCCACGTCTCTACCTTTCGATGCCGAGAGGTTGGCCGGGTTGGCAGCGTGGCAGGTCATACAGATGTGCAGGGAGCAGCGGAAGCCCTTGTTCTGCACGACGGCGGGGGGGTACTTCTGCACGCACTCCTCGTGGTAGTACTTCCCGCACAAGGGGAGCAGGCACCGCCGCACGGCCTCCCCGCTGCTCTTGCACACAAAGCAGGTGTGCATGCCTGGAGGAGAGAACAGTGTCACACCGCAGAGGGAAGAGACCGGGCTCCCCCGGCCGCCCGCAGCCCCCCCGCGGCGCATACCTGTCGAGCACTCAGTGCAGATGAACTTGCCCTTCGGCATTTCGGAGAGCCCGAGGCACTGCAGGTGGAAAGCGCCGCAGCACTGCGCCTCACACAGCAGCAGCTCCCCTGGCTTCTCGCAGATCTGTGGGGGGACGCAGCGTCACGCACAGGGCAAAACCGCAGCCGCGAGAGCCCTTCTGAAACGCCGCCGGCCCCGCCATGGCGCCAGCGCGTCCCCCTCGTTCCCAGCCAGCAGCCAGGCGCCCACAAACCGGACAAGGCTCCCGCCGACAGCGCCACGCTGCCCAGCAAGCTCAGCTCCCTACCTGACAGACGTTCTCCTTAAGGGCAGCGCCGCCTCCGCGCTCCCCCTGCAGCTTCCTGGTGGAAGGCGCTCCATGGTCCTGCTCGGAGCCGTCCTCGGGGCTGG